GTATTATGTAACATCGTTACTACCTGCACGTACCGAATACGTCCGATCAGGTGATCGATTGTGTGAATTTGGGACATGAAAAGGTCGGCAAATAAACTGCGTCGTTTTATTGACCTTTACTTTTTTCATTCAAAACGAAATCAAAAGAGTCAAGAGCCATACGGTACTTCTTGTCCTAACGTCCGGTTGGTCGGTTCAGTGACTGGGTTTCCACCTTTCACAGCTTTGAATCTTGCGTTATCGTTTGGTAGCTTGGGTTGCTGTGTTTCGCCTGCTCATTTATTTGAGGAAGGGGATTTTAAAGTGAAGCACTCTGTGAAAATAAAAATAAGCAAAGGAAGTAAACTTCATTGTCGCAAGTTAGCAGATGCATTAATGTCCATCATATCATTCACTCTCGTAACATATATTCCATTAAAAGCCAGTTTATCCCGAATTGAAAGACTGTTTGTAACGAGCTACGCGACTTCTTGCGTAAAGTGAACCAGACTGACATTTTGTCTGGAGATGAATGTTAGATGAGGGTCTTCGAACGAGGACCCCTTTTGGGATGAGGGAAAGGCTATTTGCTCGATGATCTGACCATTGCATGTTCCGCGCATTACTAATTTCATACTGCAATTACCGGTAAACCACTCGGCATCCGCCTTATTCTAATGAGTTACGTCGCTACAAGAGAGAGGTCTGAAAAAATACAACCACTGCGACGTCACTAGGCGCCAGCCTGTAATAGCATTTGTCCAACTCCATGTAAAGGTACTAAATTTTAATGTGATAGGAATCATCGGGATGACCGACAAAGAGCATTGGACAGCTGTTTCGTCCTGTTTGGTACTTGTCAGTGGTGTGTACGTTTTGTGACCCTGTAAGGACTCGGATCGCGAAACGTCTGAAGGTGTCGGCTTTGCATGCATTTGGGAATACTTGTCGATGTTTGCACAGTGCTGTCGAACATCATTGGAGGCCCTGTCTCTCCAATGCAAATTTGAGACGCGACGTAAGCTCTAATGGTTGAATCCTCTAGTCTTCTTGCATCGTTTACTCTTAGCGGCTGTGTTTGACAACCATAAGTGGGGATGGGACTGATGAAAACCAGCGAAACTTAATGCGTAGGCTTATTTCGCATTGGTTCTACAGCGATCTCTTTTAGCCCCATCTACACGAAATTCGATTTCGTCCTCATCTTGGCCGTTGGGTTTGACTGCACAGCCAAAATACTAGGTTGATTCAACAATCTCCTCGTTATTTGAGTTTTTGTGTCGCGGTAGAAGTTTCGGTCGACTAGCTGACCTCTAACCCTCTTCCTCAAAATCATACCACTCTGTAATTAATAAAAGTGAAGTAAAATAAAAGATAAAAAAGGTAGTTAACGTTTTGGCCGATATCATGTTATAATCTCAATCAACTTTATCTAACCTTTTTGGATGTCTGCAGTACGCGTTGTGTTTATCAGGAATCCAAATAACTAGAAAGATTGTAACTTCTCTCCGGGACTTGATAGATAGCGCTTATCACGCCTTCTATTTGCACAGCGATGCCTGATTACTTTTTTAGTAGAAAGTACTCAATGTATCCTCTTGAAATTATATTATCAAAATTATCTACGTGGGCGAACCACTAGAAGGGACTTTCTTTTGCTTATCACGGAAGAATTATGCACAGAATGATAAGAAATCGGTCATCGGACCATTTCTTGTATTAGGTGAATATTGTCCGAATATACTATCATTACACATTGTAAGGAAACACAGTAGTGAAGAAGCCCGTTCGCGGTGGTTCTTTTACAAGCTGATACATCTCAATTTATATGAAACTGTTCATTAGAGATGAGGAATCATGACAATTTGGAAAAGAAATAATCAGCATTTCAGTTCCATGACCGGATGTTGCTCACACTGAATCTGGGTCATTAGGGGTGGGCGGGGTGTCGTGTATGGTGTTCACCAAGGAAGACCGAGTGTTCTCACGAATCGTTTTGGGGAGATAGGGGGTTATGCAGGCGGATTCCGATCGCCTTCACTGTGGCCAGAGTACTGAATAGCTGAATATCACTAAAAGAAAATTTAATACGCAAGGTAAGTAAGTATTTTCCACTCGCTATTATCGAGTATATTCTTGGACGTTTGTGTTTCTGGCGGTTCAACCGAATTACAGTACAAAACATCTAACCTTTCCCCTTTTTTGGTGCCGTTAATTTGATCGATGCGTGTGATTCGTTAACACAGCGTCGTGGGTTACTGTGTCAAAAAAAGCACATCTCGTGAGCCTTCGTCAAGGACACTGTGACACTCCGTGAATCTTCACGCATAATAAATTCCGGAAATCTTACCCAGTCAGTCAACTTGAATCTTGCAATATCAGAATTGGCTCTTCGATGAAACATTTCACATGGGATTGGTAAACCTGAAGTACGCGAGTAAATTATGTGCGTGCCCTCGTTTCGGCTGTGCAGCCCCACAATCGGTTGTTGTAGCCCGATCCAAATCAGAACGGTCAGTCGGAAGTCTCTTTTTCAAGGACTGGCTGGAAGAGCTCATTTCAAATTGGTATACTCAAAGAAGCTCAGATAAGGCGAATAACAATTTATGGTTCTATTCAAGTGAAAACTGCAGAAGTACTATGGATGATTCAGTTGTTCTATGCAGATGATTTAAGGCAATTAAAATTCTCAATTAAGTCTTCTTTGACACACCATGTAATTTTACTATTTTTACAATGAATAGCAACCACATTTCACCAAATTGTCTTTTGGAGTATTATGACTATTGGTGAATTTGGAGTACCGATTTCGCGCTAGTAATATGTTTGCAGCATTGTGATTTAACCTAATCCGAGAACAAATGTCTCTGTGGAAAGCAAATTCCGAGAGTGACTGTTTTCACGCTTGTCAGTAGACTTGCGCGTCAATTCAACAGGGTTTCTGAAAGTGTATTTCAATTACGCAGACCTAACCTCCTCCATAATGTCATCGTCCGTCAACAAAAGCTGCCGTAAAACCTAAAAAATAAAAGAGCACTCAGCCAAGACCACAAAAATACGCATATTCGTACTCAACTGATTCCTTGATGTGCTACAGTAAGTTCGAAGGATTAGAAGCCGGAGCAGCTGCTAGATTAGATTCATTTCCCAGAAGCACGATATTTCGAGTATTGTAACGTTTAAATGAATTCACTCTTTTTCAACAAATGTTCACTGAAATAGCAGCAGTGCCTCTGATCCCTGTGATCGATAAAAGCTACATTTTCCGTTGATGAGTGACGAAATAAAAAACACTAAAACCACAGGTTTGTCGCGGCGTAGCTGCGACATAAAGAATGAGATAACTAGCTAGAAAATCTGTTAGTGTTTGCGAAGGCTTTGCGCAGTACTAAACCGGTAAAAATTTACTAACCCATCAAAGTGTTGAACAGCTGTTCGATGAAAGTCATTTCTGGCTTTTCTAAAATGGCTGTGATTTTATCTTTAAGCGGAGGAATACCTGTGTGGGAAATCAAATGACCTAGGAAGTTAACGCTATGCTTTCCAATGGAGCATTTCGCTGAATTTATGGTGACACCATGTTGTGTCAGACGTGCGAATGGAGTGCGTGTATGTTGGTCTTGTTCATCAGGTGTTGCACTCGCGACCAAGATGTCGTCTAAATAAGCGAAAGTGCTGTCTAGGCCTTGACGTACCTGGTTCACAAAACTCTGAAAAGTGTAAGCTGCGTTTCTCAAGCCGAAGGGAATACGCAAAAGGACCGAATATGTGGTCGCAGCTGTATTGGGATTGTCCTGAGGTTGTACGAGGATTGTAGACGCGAACTAGATCGATTTTGCTGAAGATCCTGCATCCTCCTAAACTTACTGTCAATTCCTGGATGTGTGGTACTTGATATCGAACGGGTGTAGTGATGTCGTTTTAGGGCTCTATAGTCACTGCAGTGTCGCCACACCTCGCTGAACGTTTTAATAACCATGTTTAAAAGTAAGGTTCACGGACTAGAAGGGGGCTGTATACTCCCGAGGTCTACAGTGCTGAAATTATGCTCGCGTACATTTCAATTTGTTTACTGCGAGGTGTCAGGGATGGCAGTGGAAGGGCGGACCACGTATGCTGACATGATGAACTATGTCGGTGAAAATCTGTGGAAGGATGTTCAACGGTTTATGTAACCCCGGAAATTTGAAGGGAACCGATTGTTTTCCAGCGACCTGTAGATGACGGGCCTGAGGGATGTTTCGCGCGTCAGGACGCCTACAAGCTTATGTCCTACCGGATCGACCATGAGGCTGAAATGACCAATGAAGTCGATGCCAGTGATCAACTGTGGAAAGCCAGCAATGATGAGGACCAATGGAAAACTAAGGCGAATTTCGAGGTTCAGTGTGAATGAACGTTCAACGCAAGTTTTGAATCGCTGCAACCAACTCTATAGTAGATGAATGGAGCTGGTCGATGGGACGAGGGTGGATAGCCCTAACTTGGGTACCGTTGTCGACTAGAAAGTGCATGCCAGTAACCTCGTCTGTGACGTAGAGTAGGTGGCTTTCTTTAGCTTAACCCGACACGGACGTCGCCTGGGTCGGTCAGCTTAGGCGTTTTCCTGCTCTGATGACGACGGTAACAGCAAACGTAGGAAGAGTTAGTTTGTGACCTCGAACGGCACTGACAGCGCTCATTTGCTTCTTGTCACCAATCAATAACTCTCTGACGGTTGGGGTACGCGAGTGGCTTGTGGGGGTCGATGAGATGTGTGCACAAACACCATCGGCTGCTTCTGCTAGCTTACCTAACGTAGAATTACTCGCAAAGAAACTAAGGACAGTGACGACATAACCTAGAAGTGCTGACATCCGAGAAATGCGTAGCACGTTTCCGCTTAGGTGAAGGCTGGAAGCCTGACTTCGCATGTAGTTGTGTGGAAGGATGTAACCCGTTATTTCCTATGCAGATACCGTGGAGCAGCTCCGTCATCCTGAAGCGGAAAATGATCACATTTTTTAATGCGTCGTAAAGCCTATCGGGCAGAAGATTACAGACCACATTTTTAAGGCCAGGGTCCGTAGAGAGTGGGATGCCCTACAATTGGAGTAAACTTGGTGACTTGATTTGTCAGCCTGGCTAGTCGGAATTGATAACCACAACTCTGGGTTTTCGGGGAGGAAATCGGGAATTGTAGTCAGTAAACTACACACGAATTGACTATCATATTGGTTATCTTTGATTTCTGCGTTGAAGTGATCACCGTCGCGTGATGATTGCATTATATAGAAGGGTAGCGAGTAAATAACGGAACCAGATATTGTATATACGTGAAATATCAAAATGACCAGATTTCACACAAGAAAAGATTTGCTAATGACAATAACGAACCTGAAGTGCACGATAACCGATGTACGGTTAAGAAGCACGTATTAATCAAAAATTTAGTACCTAGACTAATGATGTCCACGATTACGTACGTCGAGCAACGGACGATGGAACGAACCAAAATGAGAACGATTAATATCACGAAACCTCAACGACGATTGTATTGGTATGAGAAAAATCTACCCTTGATTATCAAAGAAAACCATCGGCATCTGCGTCCATTGATTTTTCTCAATTACGTTCATCACCACAAACAGAACAGACCAACGAAGAATTTTTCTATGCCCCGGTTAGTAAAAGTGAGAACAAATACCTGCGCTTGCAGGAAATTTTGAGGTGTGTCAGTAAGGATAAATTTGAGTTCAGACAACGTGCCAAACAAACAACCTCACAGCAACGAAACCGGCCGACGGTTTTACTCGTGTGCGAAATGTTACGAAGGGGCCCAGTCAGAAGCAATCAGATTATCTTGAGGGAGTTCACAGTTGGTTTCAAAGCCTGACCCGCAACGCAGCGTATGGGAAACGCACTCAAAGGAGGGGAGAGGTTTCCAGTTCATTGAATCATGTAACATTTGCACGGGATCCGATACGTGATGAACAGGTGAATCGGTGATAACTACCACGAGATAGGTGCGTGTGCATCGGACGCCTCTTCTTAGTTGCTTCAGGTGAACTGCCAGTAATTCCCCAGACCGGATGTTAGCTTTTTATTCATTCAACCTATGCTGACGAACACCGCGACATGAAAGCCTTCAATGGGGCTTCCTCAGTAGATGCTATTTTAGAAGCGTGTTTAGCAAGGTGTAACGTAGGGTTGATAAATTGCGGCGACTCTATCATGACTTTCGGATGCACCTGCAGAGGAGACATACCATTTGGTCACAATGTAAGCGTATTTCGAAACGTTGGTTCGGTTCCCACTACAAAGAGAGGCGTGCGACGCACCCGAATGTTCATTCTTGGGCTTTCCCACGACAGTTGACATACTTTTAGCGTGACAGATATATCTTCGAAGTAAATAACGAGCGAGTTTCCCCAAGGGATTAAGAAATCTACCCACAGTTTGAACCGTGCAGTCCGTTCAAATTACTAATTAGCTTCACAAGGAAATAGCGGGGATTCAGAAATTGTGATTACTGTGACCTAAACATTCCATCAAGATTAACGGAATTTGTTTTGTATCAACACAATGTTATTGATAGAATTAGTGATAAACTCTAGTTTCAATTGTCGAAGAAACATTTCTCAGTAAATTTTGACTGTAGAAATTACATTCTCCATAAGACATCTAGCCGTCGACTTTGGCTTGTATCAGGTCAACTCAACGTTGGCAGTTTCATCCACAACGGATATCAACAATATCCTCAAGCTTCAAAACTTGTCATCATTCTTGGTGGGCGCTAGTTAAGATGACTATTCAATTTTTATCGAGATCTCTGTTCACTTAAATGTTCCGTAATCTTCACTTTTTCCGTATACGTTGGAGTCTTATTCAGTCTCCAGAACTGTTATTGCAGTAGAACCGGTACGTGTAGTCACGGGTTTCTCGCATCCTTGTAGCACGTTTTTTTTCTGCGAGTTAATGTCGACTAGCATTGTTTTAATTATTCGATTAAAAAATAGTCTTAGGAAAGGGGGCACGCGGTAATCACAAAGGTGGGTCGCTATCATTTCTACCTACAGTGCCGTATTATTCACGAATGGACATCCGCATATACATATAACATCATTGGACACATCGTTTTCCCCATACACCGTGTTTAGTTCTGGTAAGACGAAGGTTCGAACTGTGTCTAATATTTTTACCCAGACTTGCTTTTTTCGATTACATCGAACTTCAGACCACACAACCAGCTTATGCTTGATTTTATTCCTCCTATCGTAGACTGTCCATATCATACTCAGTGCACTAAATTTACCACTGTTTTCCTAGACGGGTAAGAGTTCAGGTATTTGGCTTTCACCATCGGCTGTCGATAGAGTTATCGAGCCAATAAACGCAAAAGTCACTGGTTCCACTCTCCATGGACACCCCTCAGGCGTGTACTGGAAATATGTGCATCAGCAAACATTACATACTAGACTAGATCGGGGTGGGACTTATAGAAGACCAGGCTCTGCAAATCTACAACTGTGGATCACGATATTCAGAACATTCACACCCATCAAAGAAAAGTCAAGTCGAGAACTAGGAATACGTCATAGGGGTCGTGCCTTCTAAAATGTTCAGCAAGATGAATTTACAATAGCAAACGTCATCCAAGATAGTCGAATACAGGTAGGACAAAAGGTGGGTTCCAAAATGCAACTTAGAAAAGTCAAAATAGTTCATATCACAAGAGAATTCGGTGAGTGAGAGAGAGAGGCATCTGGCGGTGCAATTGGATGGGATTTGGGTTGATCAAGGGCCAGCGGGAGTTAACCGAAGGGAACCTCCAGGGACAACCACGCGCTTTTGTGCATTTCACCGTGAATTTCTAGAGCCATCTCCGGAATTCAAGGTTTTATTGCCTCCGTCGGATTTGGCTCGAGATACACGATCACTAGAAACTGGAATGGTGTCGCGACTAGAGGCGGAAGATCTTTCTTCCGCCATTTCTTTCGACTGTGGGTTACTTTTCAATGAAATCGCTTCGTCTTCGGCTATCAACTCGGCCAGTTGTTTCAGACACTCGAGTGGTAGCCGGCGCAGGTTGAATGCAATCAACCGAGGCTGTTCATGCAGTACCTTCACAGCACAACGTGCACTTGGTGTTTTTTGTTCGGGTTCGCTACCATCAGGTGGCGCCTTGGGATCCACAGTGGATTGGGTGGAGTGTTTTTGATAGGCAAGTAAAATTTCACCCATACGAATGGCAAGATGTGGTTGCTGTAGACAAAGCAAACGATCAAACAACAACTCCAGCTCTTGATTGGATAATTTGCCGGGTTCAGCGGTCCCCGAGTTGGTTGGTACGGTTGAACTGACAATTTTGGCATTGCCAGCATCACCACCAACGGCACCACTATCAGCACTACCACCGCTACTTTGGCTGTTGCTAATTTTCGCTGTGGTGGTGAGCGGCACAGTGGTTACCACTGATGTACTGGTAGTACCTGTATTGGTATTCGTGATTCGCGGGATGCGTTCTTGGTTAGTTTTGGCTGAAGATTTTTTCTGTCCAGCGGACTCTGTCAATTGCCTGTTGGGAATGGATTCTGAAGGGACCCGTTTTGTCAAAACTTTAGGATTTGACGAAGAACCTGTGGATGTGACGACTTCTGTTTTGGCGGATTTTTTCTTTTCGATTTTGTCTGATTTTGCTGCAGTTTTGTTTTCCACTTTCGAGGATTTTGATATAGGCACCTCCTTTTTGGTATTGGAGCTGTCTGACATCACAGTAGCCGTTGTGGTGACCGGTGTTGTCTTGACTGTAACCGAACTGGGCCGATTTGTTTCGGGAAACGTGGACGCTGTGCTTGTGACAGTGACTTTGGTAACCGCAGTAGGAGGAATGGAGGACATGGGTGGTGTGGGGGAAGAAGAGCAAGAAGAAGCAATTGGAGATGGGGAGGAAACGCGCGATGAGGAAGAGGACAAGGAAGACAATTCCACGTTCTGTTCACTAAATACAACCGGCGGCCTGATACGTTTCGGTGGCGAGCTTGTAGGCTCCACTGTACGGATTTTAGACTTTGTCGGGCGTTTTTCCGCACTACTACCGGCAGGTTTTGATCTTTTGCTAACGTCAACTTTGCCTGGAAAACGCAGAGGGAGAGAGATGAATGACTACCATTAGGCAAAGTATTAATTTCAAAATAAAATGATAACTCTGAGAATTAGTTCAGCAGAGAGAGTGAGAAATGTGTGAGCAACCATCATTACTACACATCCGCGTTCCGGTTTTGTTGTTATCTCAAGATCAATCCTCACCTGTTTAACCAATGAAGAAGGGGACAGTATCACAACTAACAGTTACGATTACAGAAGCAGCAGTAATTAAATATATCACCGTCAAGATTCCTGGTCTTGCTTTAAGCCACTGTTCCTGGGGTGCTTTGGGCCAAACTGTGCATGGTTTGAGCCCTGACAAAGCCACCCAACTTTGGTGGTTGGCAGTTTCACTGCTGTTCAGCCAGTTCTATATGCTCATCCTATGTTAGCACGGCGTGGTTCGCCGCTCCAAATTCCAAATGTTATAAATGAACAGCAGGTCTTCTATGCCGTAGTTCTTCGTACAGTGATGTGTAATAACAAACAGCGCACAAAGTACGAATCAATGAGTGTGGGTAAGATGGAGATGAACCTCATAAACATAGACAGGCTAAATAAAGCTCTTTTACCAACTTCGAGGGAACAAATAGTGAGATACAAAGATCCGCAGCGGCTTTTCCAATGGCATCGGAAATCAACGATTCAAAAGAAACCAGGAATAGACGTTTACGCCCGCATGATTTAATCGACCAGTAGGGTATATTGCGCATCCCACACGTACCAAAATCGACTGTGGATCAGCAATAACGTATATTTTTAAAAAGCCCCTGGAAGGCATGCAATGCTCACATAAAGATAAACCAACTGTTTAGGAATGGAAGAGTGTTCTTCTGGAACAGTTCTCACTTTGGTTCGAATGACGGAACGGTGGAAAACAATCCCGTGCTGACCTACGGGAAACGATACGGACCCCAGTTATCCGACTTATTAGTCTGATACAAGCGCTAACAACAATCAATCTCTTGTGAAATTCCGTACCCTAACACAAACAGCAACATAGATAGACAGTTTGGGCATTTCGCAATATATATATGGTTAGTGACGAGTATTTACGACCGAGTAAGCTGTAATTGTAGGTTTGGAACTAGGCTATGCTACAAGCAGATAACACTGCAACAAACTGGAAATTTAGAGCGCAGCAGGACGGCCGAATATCGATACAAATTAGGAAGCCAAAATTGATTTCTGTCAATATTGAGAGGAGAACAAAGTGTGAGTGCAGCTTCATTAATGTCATCAGAGTATGCGGCTCTGGGACTGAAATAGCATTATACAACTGGAGAAGCATGAGTACAACAAATGCAAGGAATTAGTGTACTCCACCACGCTGCACGATCCTTCGCACAGATGTACGATCCTAACACGGTCGAAGATTACTTGTGAAGTGCAATTATAAGGCTATTCAAAAACACCGAACTGACGCAACTGGGTTTATGCACGAAGGTTTAAAAACCACTAAATAGCGAGGAATAAGAGGAAACAATGTGATTCTCTGGTTATGACTTGATGACGGGCAATGCGGAAAATGAATGCACTGCGGTAGAAAACTAACTGAAGAAGTGAGCGGTACATAGCTTCACGTAAATACTCAGAATACGAAAAGGTGCAGGATATGAAAGCAGTCCAATATTGGATCGTTCAACTAAGGACACAACAATATACGTTAAGTACAATGCCCTTTATTTAATGCGATAGATCCGGTAGCAAATCGTCCTAACCAAAAAAAGCAATATCTTGCTTGCTTATGGAATACAGAGCTGGAGTGGAAAAGACATAACAAAGCATTCCACCATCATCATTCGAACGGAACATAATGTTCACTTACTTTTAGAAGAGATTTTCTCTGTTTTAGTCTTGCTAACTTCAGTAGCAACAGCCGACCTGAATTTCGGTGACTGAACGCTCGTCGCTCCGGTGAGCTGAGATAACGACGACATCGGTGCAGCATTAGTTCCGTCCCGATCCCGTTTGCTTGATTTGGACGGTTTGGTCGCGGGTAGAAACGAGGAGTCTGACTTTTTGACTGATTTGGACGAGGAGTTCTCGTCTTTAGACGGAGCTTTACTACTGCTTTGCGTCGGACGATTAGTCAATTTTGCTCGTTTGTCTGACTGTCCGGGGTACGTTTCAGAACTGTCACATGAAAGTGGACTAATGTCACGAGAACCTTTGCGTGGGAGTTCTGCAGTGTTTGGTTGTGAATCCGTGGCAGGCCGTTTGGACCCAGAGAGTGAGGACATGCTGGCTTGTGATACTTTTGGATTACTCTACAGAGAGAGCAGAGCGAACATGTGACACTATTGTAATAACCTTTTCGATAAGGGTTAATTTAATGGAAGAAAGGAATATGTAATAGAACACAACTTCAGGCGAAAGGTGATTTCAACAATTACTTATCATGCCGTTACACTTAATATGTGAGGATAAAATCTATTGGGTAGGAGGATAAAGTTAAATAGTGATGAATCGATCGCCGGATGTGCTACACATCAGGTTTTCAGTTCCGTGATTCCGTGTTTTTCAATTATATGTGGATTTCATTGCGTAAAGAGCAAATGAAACGTGAACTGAAACGCTAGGAAGTACTACACAGTTGTTTCGACCAGGTCGAATCTCATCACTAGTGCGAGTCCGACAACCCGATTAGGGTTCGAACCAGTGACCTTACAGGAGAAGAAGGGTTGTGCTATATAGAGTATGAAAAAATGAAAAACGGTTCTACCAGCTTCCTGGTGTCCGAGTGAGTAGAATGCTCGTGTTCTGACTATGAGGTTCCGGGTTCAATCCTAAATTGAGTCGATGGATTTGCACTAGAGATGAAACCCAACTGTCGAGTACTTCCAAGCTTTTCAGTTCACGCTCATTTGCTTACTACACCACGAAATTCACATATAAATAAACTAAATCCTCCACTACTCTCATTTTCATTAATGTCGCGTTGGTCGTGTGACCCAATTCTGAGGGATCGGTGTCATTGTGTAAATATGTATACATATGTAGACAGATGGGAGGAGTGGTTTAGTGAACCCAGCGGAGGTGGAGGGCCAGGATTAGATGATTCTTGGCACATAGTTCGGTCAAGTGTTTCATACTGGTGGTCAACGAACGCACTCTTACATATTCAGACCGGTTCATAAAGACCTGATAATACGGAATGCTTCCCTTGGGTTAACACGATGGCTAGTGTCTACAAATTGGGCAAGAATCGCACTTGAGATGGATGCGGTACCAACTAAACTCAGCCAGCGTGGATGGCGTTGTTTCATGCAGACAGATAACTTTTGTTGAGAGTGTTAAAAGTTCAGTAGCTTCGGTGGGATTCAAAACCATCATAGAAGCCGCATACGCTTTTATACAGCGCACGCCCCATCATCTGAGCTACGAGGCCACACCGATAGCACTGATCTTTTCACATTTGAACACGGTAGATATCTGCCGAGTTGATGTTGTTGTGTTCTCTGGAATGGAAGTGTTGTTTGGAGACGATTCGAAGCCCTCTAGGTAAAATCTCGGAAGAGCAGAGCTGCATGCTACCGAGCGCGTCCCCAAGTCGCGAATAGGGGAACGGCCGCCATCTCGCGGCTGACCGTGGATAAGGTGGGCTTCGGCCTACTGAATAAGCGGTCGCGGACGAGCAGCGGCAGCGCTCGAGGATGTGGTGGGTTTACTCCTGGCAAGGGTTCTCCGCTCAAAACACCACATACATCTGCGGACAGCGCTGTGACGTGGCGAGTGTGGTCCACCACTAAATATGGTCATGCCCCTTGTCGAGATCCATTGCCCGACAAGGTTTTCCAGAAGAGGCGAATGAACCGAAGACTGGCCACCGGCTCATCTGGAACATTTCTACTGCCTTGCAGTCGGCGCTTGGTTGCGCAAAGGCTAGAGTGCATCCTCGAACAAGGCCTACTCTGGACCGGGCGACCGAGCAATACAATAGCCCACAACGCAGACAACTATGAATCTTACTTTTATGATCATGCATTCTGAGGCTCTTCCAAATTGCACAAAATATTCTACACCGTACACACCCTCTCGTCCCCCCCCCCTCTCCCCAGCTCATCTC